CTCCTGCATCGGCAGGCGGACTCTCAAGCACTGCGCCACCAGGGAAGCCCTCCCTTGATTTTTTTGTTTTGTTTTTAGGACAAAATTTGCCCAGTTTGCTATCTTCAAAAAGTTGAGGGAAATTCTCTCTTTTCATATTTTTTTGGGGGAGAGCTTGTTTAAGATTGGAATTATTTGCTCCTTGTATTTTTGGTAAAACTCACCAGTGAAGCTATCTGTGCCTTAAGCCTTCTTTGTGGGGAGATTTTTAACTATTAATTCCATTAATAGTTTTAAAAAAAAGTCTTTTAAAAAAATTATAAGACTATTTTCATTTTGTATTTCTTTTTGAGTCACTTTGGAACATTTTATAGATGTAGGAATTTGTCAGTTCCGTCTAATTTTCAAAGTTATTGGCACAAAGTTTATAATATTTATAGTATCTGTGCTAACATCTTTTTCATTCCTACTCTCACATATTTATAGTTTTTTCCTTTTTTTTTTTCCTTGAAAAATCTTGCCATAGGCTTGTCCAATCTGTTAGGCTTTCAGAGGACCAACTTTTGGTTTTGATGATTCTTTTATTGTATTTTAAAAATTTCATTTATTTCCATCCTTTATTATTTCTTTTGTTAAAGCTTCTTTGGTTTTATTTTTCTACTCTTTTTCTAACTTATTTAAAGATATGGTTAGCTTACTCATTTCAGGTTTTTTCCCCCAAATTTAAGCATTTAAGGCTATAAATTTCTCTAAGCACTACCTGAGTAATGTCCAAGTTTTGTTATGTAATTTTTTTATTGTTTAATTCTAAATATTTTCTAAGTTCGGTTATTTCTTCTTTGAGAAGTATACTTTCTTAATTTCCAAACAAATGAGGGTTTTCTAGTTACCTTTTTGTTATTAATTTCTAATTTAATTTCATTTTGGTCTGAAAAATGTTCTGTATTATTCAGATTTGTTGAGACATGCTTATCATCTAGTATATGATCAAGTTTTTTTCAAATTTGTTGAGACATGCTTATCATCTAGTATATGATCAAGTTTTTATTATGTTCCAAGTAAACTTGAAAACGTTTATTCTATGCTTGTTGGGTACAGAGTTTATAGTAAATGAATGCATGTCAATTAAGTCAAATTTGTTAACCATGTTACTCACATCTTCTACAGCCTTACTTACTTGTTCAAAATTATACATATTTCGCTAGGAAGTTAAAAATTTATTCTTAGGTAGTGACTTCTTTTATTCCTAATAATTCTATTTGTTCTCTAGTATATTTTATCTGCTAGTAACATCTTTTAAGATTTTTTGCTAGGTACATACCCGGTATAACTTTTCCCATCCTTTTTCTTTCAATTTTTCTGTGTCCTTAGGTTTTCAGTATGTTTCTTATAAATTGTAAGCTGGATTTTAAGGGTGACATCCCACTATAGTCACCCTTTCCCCCACGGGTAACCATTCTAATGTGCTTATTGTATATCCTTTGATTACAATAAGGAACAATCCTGTTCTTGAAAACTAGGTATTGTTTTCTATGTGCTTTTTTTAAAGTTTACACAAGTGGTATGTGAACCATGTTTTGCCTATCCATTCTCCCTGGGATGGACACCTGGGTTGCCTTCAGATCTCTGCCTCCACATATAATGCTGCAGTAAATGCCTCAGATGTTTCCCAAATG